TGGGTGGCGCGGAGGCCGCCCGCCCGGACTTACTTGCTCAAGGGCCCTCGGGTGCCTGAGGACACCGCTCACAGCGGGCTGCTTCTGCCCCACCCTGCCGCCCTGGTGCGGTCGGCAACCTCAAGCCGGCGTGCCCCAGCTCTCAGTTCCTCCCCGGGTTGGTTGCCACAATTCCCGCGTCCGGCCGCACTGGGCGGCGGAGAAAGGGCGCAGCCGAGAGCCCATCCAGGTGCACCCGAGGAAAGCCTTACACAGACCCCGAGGCTCCCCACGGTGAGATCCACAGGACCCCAGTCCTGCCAATCAGGGCCCAAACGGAGCTACTCTCAACCTTTAGTAAAATGGGCTTCGGTCTCCAGTCTACACACCATGCATCGGAGACCGTATTATCCCTTTGAGTGAGTTGCATTTGAGGGCCAATTTACAGGGAGACCTACAGCTTCTTCCAGTAAGAAATTTTTTTTAAGACTACCACGCAGCTGGGCGGTGGTGGCACACATTTTTTTTGTTTTTGGGTTTTTGTTTGTTTGTTTGTTTTTTCGAGACATGGTTTCTCTGTGTAGCTTTGGAGCCTATCCTGGCACTCGCTCTGGAGACCAGGCTGGCTCGAACTCACAGAGATCCTCCTGCCTCTGCCTCCCGAGTGCTGGGATTAAAAATGTGTGCCAACAATCCCAGCACTCAGGAGGCAGAGGCAGGCAGATCTCTGTGAGTTCGAGCCAGCCTGGTCAACAGGGCGAGTTCCAGGACAGGCTCCAAAGCTACACAGAGAAATCCTGTCTGGAAAAAAAAGCAAAATAAAAAAAGAAAACTACCTGGCCAGGTTTGGTAGCTCATTCCCAAGCAAGATCCCAGCATTTGGGAGACTGAAGAAAGGGTATCATTTTTTACCTTCAAGAAATAATATTTTTAGGGCTGGAGAGATGGCTTAAAGGTTAAGAGCACTGACTGCTCTTCCAGAGGTCCTAAGTTCAATTCCCAGCAACCACATGGTGGCTCAAACCATCCGTTATGAGATCTGGTGCCCTCTTCTGGTGTGCAGATATACATGGAAGCAGAATGTTGTATACATCATAAATAAATAAAATCTTTTAAAAAAAAAAAAAACAAAAACAAAGTGACCTTTCTTTAAAAAAAAATAATATTTTTAGCCGGGCATTGGTGGCTCATGCCTATAATCCCAGCACTTGGGAGGCAGAGGCAGGCGGATCTCTGTGAGTTCGAGGCCAGCCTGGTCTCCAGATTGAGTGCCAGGATAGGCTCCAAAGCTACACAGAGAAACCCTGTCTTGAAAAAAAAAACCAAAAAAAAAAAAAAAGAAAGAAAGAAAGAAATAATATTTTAAGTATTTATTTTATTGTATTGTTTAAGTGTTTTGCCCGCTTGTATGTGTACCATGCATGCCCTCTACTCAAGGAGTTCAGTAGAGGACATCAGATTCCCTGGAACTGGAGTTATATACAATTGTGAGAGTCCATGTGGGTGTTAGTCATCCAACCTGCTCCTCTGCAAGAACGGGTGCTCTTTACTGCTGAGCCTTCTCTCAGGCCCTCAAAATAGCATTTTTATGTCATCACAGCCTGTGGCAGAGGCTTGCTTCACAATGTATACAGTCAACCTCCAGTGCTTTGCCAGTTGTGTTAGAAAGAGGTGTGGCTGACTGAAAGTTTGGCCCTGGATCTTGTCCCTTTGGGTAGGTGTAAAAGAGGCAGTAGATGACATTCAATCTATCCACTTGCTCCCTGCAGGGAGACCCAGCACAGATTATAAGCTACAAAAGCCTGGCTGTCCCCTGCACTTTGTTCTGTCTCCCTTCAGTATTTTTCCCCAGAATCTTCTGCAACACACACCGTTCTCACAGAGAGTTCTTTTTTTTTGGGGGGGGGGGGTTGAGACAGGGTTTCTCTGTGCAGCTTTGGAGCCTATCCTGGCACTCTCTCTGGAGACCAGGCTGGCCTTGAACTCACAGAGATCCACCTGCTTCTGCCTCCCAAGTGCTGGGATTAAAGGCATGTGCCACCAAGGCCCGGTGTGCATGTATGTCTTTGTACCATGTTCATGCAGTACTCTTGGAGACTAGAAGATATATATGTATCCAGCTGGTGTTACAGATGATTGTGAGCCACCATGTGGGTGCTGGGAATTGAACCCAAGTCCTCTGCAAGAACAAGTGCTCTTAATTCCTGAGTCAAGTCTCCAGTCCCCCAGATACTTATTCCTGATTTTTTTTTTTTTTTTGAGACAGTATCTCACTATGTAGCCCAGCCTGGTTTCAAACCCCAAGTCAGTCATCCTGAGTTCTAGATTTGTAGGTCTGAACTATCACACTCAGCCCCACCAGACTTTTTAAATGGTTCCTCTGGATAAATGAAATTTAAAAGCAAGAAAGAGAGAAGGAAAAAAATAGGGGGAAAAAAGCAGTGGGGTGTTTTGTGGGCAAAAGCTGGATTATGAGGGCCTGAGAAATGGAAATAAGAAGGTGGACAAAGGAGAAAATGGAAAGAGGAGGAACTTGGCCTCAGCCAGCACCCTCCCTTGGGTGGACCAGTAGATTAGAATCACCCCGCCCTTCCAACCCACACCCCCTCCCCCGCCCTCAGCTGGCATTGCCATGCCCACAGTGCCCCAAGTGTGCCCTGCTTGTGGTGACTCACTTCCTCTAAACAGGCTGCTGAGGTGTCTGTCTCAGAGCAGTGTCCCGGCCCGGCCATGAGGCCAGAGTTTAGGTATCTGAACAGGCTCCTGGCAAGACAGACACGTGGACCCTAATGGCAAAAAGGAGATCTTTCTAACTGTAACTGGCCCATAAAACGTAGAAAACTGCCCACCATAGTGACACACTGTTAATCCAAGCAGAGGCAGGTAGATCTTTGGGAATTTGAGGCCAGCCTGGCCTGCATAGCAAATAAAGTTCTGGAATAGCCAGGGCTGCATAGTAAGACCCTGTCTCAAATATATATATTATAAATATGTATTTTATATATTGCATATATGTATATAACATGCACACACAAATCCACATAAGCCTACTTGAGTAAAGAGTCTCACAGCGCCGTACATGGGGCCAGTGTGAGGGCTTCCTGGAGAAAGGCAAGTACTGCGAAGCCTCATAATCCGAATAGAAGTCCCAAGATCCACCTGGCAGGACAGAATGACTCCTACAAGTTGTCTTCTACACGCATGCTGTACCGCACACAGGCCCACACGTGTGCACTAAATAAATGAATAAACATGAAGGGGGAGGAAGGCCCTAAAAGAGCAGAAGAAAGAAAAAAAAAAAAAAAAAGCAAAATGGGGCTAGAGAGTTTGAGGACGTGCTCGTGAGTCTGCAGTTGAGGCACTGGACAGCACGGCTATGCCCTAGTATTCCACTAAGAGACCCCGAAGTCACCTCTTCCTCACCAGGATATGAAAATTCAGAGGCAGTGAGATACCTGGGCTCTGGTTCCAACTTCATGGGTGTGAGAGGTCCCTACCCTCCTCAGTCCGTAATGGTGCAGAGTAAGTCTCTCTGCGATGGCCTCCAAGTTTACAATCCTAAATTTAGAGCATGGATGTTGAAGGTGACCAGTAAACCTGAAAACAGCAAGTCTGTCCCCAGTGTTAAACAAGACAAAACCAGACTGAGAGTGGTGAACCCCCGCCCCCCGACATTTCTGCAGAACCTCTGTGGATGCAGCCACTTGCTCCACGTGCTCACGGGAAGCTTTGTTTCTGCCACATGACTGAATTTCTACGAATTTAGATTAGAGTTTCAGCTTGCAGGTTCTGGCCAGCAGTCCCTTGGGAAGGTTTGGCTAGGGCAAACAGGTGCCCTCATCCTTCCTCCCTCCCTTTCATCTCACTCTGCTTGGTACATGGAGCCAGAATCTAATCGATGACTGTGAAGAGTCAGAAGGCGGGGCCTTGTGCTACATAGCGTCCCCAGCATCAGTGAGGCAACAGTCTCCAGCATGTTCTCAGAGGTCACCCCATCTGCCAGCCGTGAGTAGTTTTCTCCCTGGGGCTCCTTCTTACCTTAGCTGCCACCAAGTCCACCCAGAACCTGATGTTCTCAAGATGCTGTACTTATGACAAGTGGATTACGAGAACCCATTGATAAGCTCAGGCGGAGCTAGGGACTTCCAAGTGGCCCTAGGTGACTCATTAATAATACTTTCAGTGGCTGCTGATGCCCTCTTGTGGCACTCTTGGGAATGGCAGGAAAGAAGCCAGCCAGGATTGGATTTAACAGGAAGAAGCAACAGTTACTAGTATAAAATAATAAATATTGTAACAATACTTGTTGCCATATGCTAGCATTTTGACATGCATATTCAGTTCTCTATGACCAGCACTTTTGTGAGTATTTTATATGTATTGGGAGTTGGCCTGCTAAGGCTAGAACCTGGGCCTCATCCTTGAGAGGCAATGGCCACACCTCCTCACCTCCATCTCTCCATATGTACATGTCTAATTCTGACAACAATCTATAACATAAACCTTTTTTTTAAGATTTTATTTATTATTTATACAATGTTCTGCCTGCATGTATGCCTGCAGGTTGGAAGAGGGCACCAGATCTCATTATAGATGGTTGTGAGCCACCATGTGGAACTGAACTCGGGACCTCTGGAAGAGCAAGCAGTCAGTGCTCTTAACCTCTGAGCCATCTCTCCAGCACCTCATAAACCTTCTTTTTAAAGTTTTATTTTATTTTATGGGTATGAGTGTTTCACCTGCATGTGTCTGTGCTTACTTGGTGTTTGGAGAAACTAGAAGAAGGCATTGGATCTCCTGGTACTGGAGTTACGGATGATTGTAAAACACCATGTGGGTTTGAGGACTGAACCCATGTCTTCTGCTAGAGAAGCAAGTGTTCTTAACTGCTAAGCCCTCTCTCCAGTCTCTTGTTTTTCCTCTTGTGTATATGAGAGAAGATTTTTGGTTTTCAGTGCTGGGGTTGGAACCCAGGGCCTTTTTGTCATTCAGCTTCTTACCCAGCCTGTTTCATTTTTAAAGATTTGTTTCTTCAGGTGGTGGTGGCATAAACCTTTAATGCCAGCACTTGGGAGGCAGAGGCAGGAGAATATCTGTGAGTGTGAAGCCAGCCAGGTCTACATAACAAGTTCCAGGAAAGCCAGGACTACATAGAAAGACCCTGTCTCCAAAAAAAAAAAAAAAATTTATTTTTTTAAAGATTTTATTTATTATATATATAACATTCTGCTTCCTTTTATATCTGCACACCAGAAGAGGGCACCAGATCTCATAACGGATGGTTGTGAGCCACCATGTGGTTGCTGGGAACCGAACTCAGAACCTCTGGAAGAGAAGTCAGTGCTCTTAACCTCTGAGCCATCTCTCCAGGCCCCAGTATTTATTTTTTGATGTGTATGGATGTTCAAACTGCAGGTATATCTCTGCCCCATGTGCATGCAGAGTTCAAAGAGACAAGAAGGGGGGCATTTGGTCCCCCAGAACTGGAGTTACAGACAGTTGGAAGCTGCCCTGTGGGTGCTGGGAACTGAACCCAGGTCCTCTGCAAGAGCAGCAGTGCTCTTATCTGCTGCGCCATCTCTGCAGCCTTACCCCTAGGCTCTGTTCTGAGGATAAGGAAACTGATCACAGGACCTTCAGGCACCTGTCCAGCGTTATACAGGAAGTCAGAATTCTGACTCTAGTTCAACTTTACCCACAATACAGAGATTAAGCCCCATTTAATCGGGGCTTAATTTAAACGGGGTGAGTGTCAGGTGGAGCACAGGCTATCTCCTTAGAGTAGAATTTCAGGCAAACAATAAATAAGTGTAAGATTAGAATAATCACATTAAATAATTGGGTCATACTTATACCAACAAATAGTCCATTTATATTCATTGTTTATCTGAACTAATTTAACTGGAGGTTGTATATTTTTATTTGTTTAATCTAACACCCCTAATTTACAAGATGATCTATGCTGTCACACACATTGCCTCCTTTATTCCTCCCAAGAACCCATCCCCAGATGCACCAGCCTCTCTCCTCCTCTGCCCTGCAGTTTCTCCCGACCTGTCCAGTTTAGAGAGTATGAAATGTGTAGCTAAGATTACAGAATGTAACAAGTTGCAGACTGGGGGGTGATGGCTCACACCTGTAAATCTCAGCACTTGAAGCTAAGACAAAAGAATTGTGAACTCAAAGCCAGCCTGGGCTTCATCATGAGTTCCAGGCTAGCCTGAGCTATAGAATAAAACCCTGTACCTTCCCACAAACAAGCAAAAATAAAAAAAGGCCAGCAGTGGGGCATTGGTGGGGCACGCCTTTAATCCCAGCACTCGGGAGGCAGAGGCAGGTGGATCTCTGTGAGTTCGAGGCCAGTCTGGTCTCCAGAGCGAGTTCCAGGACAGGCTCCAAAGCTACACAGAGAACCCCTGTTTTAAAAAAAAAAAAAAGCCAGCAAGAGAGCACTTTCCCACAAACCCGACCTTGGAACTCATGTCCTAGAAGGAGTGGACTGACTGTTCCCATGAGTTTTCCTCTCACCTGCATACATGCTGTCACATGTATGTACACATACACAAAGAAGAAAATTGTAAGGATCCAGGCATGGTGGTACATACTTTTCTTTTTTTTTTAAAGATTTTATTTACTTATTATGTATACAGTGTTCTGCTTGCATGCCAATAGAGGGCAGCAGTCTCGTTACAGATGGTTGTGAGCCACCACGTGGTTGCTAGGAATTGAACCCAGGTCTTCTGGAAGAGCAGTCAGTGCTCTTAACCTCTGAGCCATCTCTCCAGTACCAGTGGTGCATGCTTTTAATCCCAGCACTCAGGAGGCAGAGGCAGGTGGAGTTCCATGAATTTGAAGCCAGCCTGGTCTACAAACGAATTCCAGGACAACCAAGACTACACAGAAAAACGCGCGCGCGCGCGTGCGTGCATGTGTGTTGTTTTTTGAAACAGGGTTTCTCTGTGTAGCCTTGGTTGTCCTGGAACTCACTCTGGAGACCAGGCTGGCCTTGAATCACAGAAATCCACCTGCCTCTGCCTCCTGAGTGCTGGGATTAAGGGTGTTGACCACTACTGCCCGACCAATAAATAAATAAATAAATAAATAGAGATTGCTGGGCATGGTGGCATGCCTTTAATCCCAGCATTTAGGAGGCAAAGGCCAGGCCAGGCTGGTCTACAGTGAGTTCCAGGGCAGCCCAGACCATGTAGAGAAACCATGTCACAAAACAAAACAAATAAGTAAGTAAATAAAATAAAACTTAGAGCTTGACCATGCTCTGATTCTAAAACTAGAGTATGTTTTCCACTTTAATGAGGAAGAAAATCAGAATATGATTGCCATCTTGGAACTTCATTACCAGTGTCCCCAAACTCATTTCCTGTGTTGGATAGTAGTGGCCATGCTGTAGCTCTCCTTTCGGGGTTCTGGGAGATCGAAGAGGACCATTCCTGGCTTTGGAGAATGGTAGAGGACTAGAGGCAGGAAAAAGACGACTCCCCAAGTCTTAAGGAGCCAGCCCCGAGGTTTAAGCAACCGTTTAGGGTCCCTGAGGCTCCGAGGGACTGAGCACCTGATGCCCAGTCCTGAGGCTGTGTGCCGACAGCCTTGGGCTCAGCTGTTGGGATTGCATCACGGGCAGCCTAAACAGCCAGGGAATGCTGGCTGCTAAAAGGCAGCAGCAGGAGACTGAGAAATCCGGGCCCTGGGATCCTCCTCCATCTGCTAGCTGCCTTTGGGAGCAAGGTGCTCCCACGGTACCGGTCTGCAGGGAACACCCTCTGCATTTTTCTTTCTTGACTCTGTGGATCTGCCCCCACCCCTGACTACCTGAGTGCCCTTCCTTCCCCACAGATATAAACAATCCCCTGTCTCTCCACCCATGCTGGCTGGCTTTCCTAAGGCATAATCACAGAAACTTCAGGGCTGGGACCCCCTGTGGGGTGCAGGCTGGGGTGCCCTAATGGTATGTGTCCCAACAGGTTTTTCTCTATCAACCTTGAAATCAGCCTGGAGCCTGCCTGACCTACATTCCCCTTACCGCCTCCCCCCCTTTACCCCCAGGGAGCTGGAACCAGTGGTAGAGTCAGGTCAGAAGCAAGACTCAAGAGACTAGGTTTCTGTGGTCCCAACCTGGCCCCGTAGGGAAAGCAACACACAAAGCCTCTTGTGTCCTCGGCTGAGTTGAGAGGCTGAGTGGAGTTTGCTTGCGTGGGTTAAGGGCCAGTTCCTGGGAGGAGAGATGCTAGGCAGGGAGCTGTTTGCTTGTAGACCCTGTACAGCCTGGTCCTCTCCCACGTCTGGGAGGGGCCAAATCAGAGACAGCTGGACTGGTCTGCAAGGGAGGTCATCTGACTGGCTGTTCAGCTTGGGCTCCTCACTGCTCCTCTCCACCACCAGGCTACACAGGAGCTGGTGCCCACACAGGCAAACCACCAGGCCACAACACCCACCTCACCTCTAGCGCGTTTGGGGTAAGTCCTGGAACCCAGCCCTTATCTGGGGGAGGGAGAACTTACCAACTGAGGGAGGAGTGGATGTATTCTTTTCCCAGCATGAGAGTGTCTAGTCTGTGCCCAGGTACCCATGTTCCTACAGGGACACATACAGGTTACACCTGCTGACCTAGAGACCCCTTCTGAGACTCCTGGGGGGGAGCGCAGACAGGCAGGAAGCTGCTCTGCAGGTAGGTTTGCGGCTCCCCTGGGGAGAGGAGTGGGGGATAAGGAGCTGTCTCCCACCAGTGCCTTCATTATGCCACCTCACCTCAGATGCCTGAGAATCCAGGCCAGGGAAGGGAGGGACCTGAGCCTCAGAAGGGGGCATCATCGCAGACTGAGGGTTCCGGGGCCTCGGGTGGAGGGAATCCATTGGTGGGTGCTGGTCCCTGCAGTCTCCCCAGCCAAACCTGGCTTACAAAAGGTAAGAGCCAGAGCAGAGAAGGTAGGCTCTTCCTATTGCCCTCATCTTCCAGCCTCACGCTTGCAAAGAAATTTGATGTTCTACTATTCATTCATTTATTCTCTGCAACAAAGGAAAGGAAAGGGATGGGTTGAGAGAGTCCAGGCCCCAGATAAGAGGCAGAAGTGGACATTCCCTTCAGCTCACTCCTGTTTCCTTCCACAGGGAAGCCAGTGGAACCATGTCTGTGAGCAGTGGAACCATGGGAGCATCCCTGACCCAGGAGATCCTCAGCTCCCTGGGCCTTGCCAACAAGGTACGGGCTGTTGGGACTTCATAACAGTGCTTACCTATTGAATAGGGCTGCTGATTGATCTCGCCTTTCATTTGCTTAGGTAGTGCTCTGCCACTGAGCCTTATCTCCAGCCCCAACAATAAAGTTTAATGCATCCACTCAGGGACCAGGAGATGTTGGGGAAGAGGGAAGTGGAAATGGTCTTGGAGACAGAGAGAGAGCTCAGCTGGGTGAAAGCCTGATGACCTAAGTTTGATCTCTAGAACCCACATGGAAGCAGATAATGAAGGCCCTCAGGTTGTCCTCTGACCTCCCATGCACACACAATAAATGAACAAAATGGAAGGAGGAGGAGGGCAGGCTCCCTGCTCCTGACACCACGTTCTCATGCTCTTTCAGACTGCAGCCTGGGGGACCCTGGGCACCCTTAGGACTTTCCTGAGCTTCAGTGTGGACAAGGATGTACAGAAGTTGCTGAAGGCCATTACAGGCCAAGGTAAGCCCTGCCCTTGGTGTTCAGTGCCTCCCTTTCCTTGTTGATCCTGATTTTTATTTTACTTTATTTTGAGATAGGGTCTCGTTTGTAACACTAGCTAGCCTGGAACTCACTATGGAGACCAGGTTGGCTTCCAACTCAGATCTACCTGCCTCTGCTTCTCAAGTGCTGGGATTGAGCGTGAGCATCACCACACCACACCACACTCTATCTCAAGCCGGCTTCAAATCTGCAGTAATCCTCCTGCAGCAGTTTCCCAAAGGATGGGATTACAGGGCAAGAGCCATCATGCTCCACTGTAGGTCTGCCTTTCTTTTTCTGTCTTTTTCAAAATTTATTATTTTATATATATGGGTGTTTAATCTGTATATATGTCTGTGTACCACAAGCAAGCCTGGTGCCCACAGAAGCCAGAAGAAGGGGTTAGAGCCCCTGGAACTGAACTTTCAGATGGCGGTGAAATCACCATGTGGCTGCTGGGAATTGAACTTGGGTCCCCTGGAAGAACAGCTGGTGTTCTCTCAACCACCACACTTATTAAATAAATGTTTAAATTTTTGTTTTTCAAGACAGGATTTCTCTGCCTGCTTGTCTGACCTGGAACTCACTCTGTAGATCAGGCTAGCCTCACACTCACAAAACTGTCTCTGCCTCCTCGGGTGCTTGTATTAAAGGTGTGTGCCACTACCACGTGGCTTTAAAAAAAAAAAAAACCATATTTTTTTAAGGAGCAAGGAAGTTGGAGTTAGGGATGCTCTGAGAGTATTGGTGAGATATTTGATTCTAGCATGTCAGGGTTTGTGATGGTGTGTCATACCCAGTCTCACAACACCTTGTGAGGTCAGGCTTATTATTTCCATTCTTGCACATGAGGAAACTGGGGCTCAGAGAGATTAAGAGGCTTGCCCAACGTCACATAGTTCATAATAGAAGATCTGGGATTCTAAGCCAAATGAATGGGTCCCACCCAAAAAGTCCTTTAAAATTTTTAATTTCAGTTATGTTTTTTCTTTCTTTCCTTTTTAAAATTACCATACTAGGCCACTTTTGTCTGAATTAGGATTTGAGTCAGATTTATTTATTTCCTTCCTTTTTGTTTGCTTGTGTTTTTTGTTTTGTTTTTTTTCAAGACCGGGTTTCTCCGTGTAGCCCTGGCTTGTCCTGGAACTTGCTCTGTAGTCCAGGTTGGCTTCAAACTCATGGAGATCCACCTACCTTTACCTCCAAAGCACTAGGATTAAAGGCATGGGCCACCACCACCTGGCTCTAACCACCTTCCTTTCTTCTTTCCTTCCTTCCTTCCTTCCTTCCTTCCTTCCTTCCTTCCTTCCTTCCTTCCATAGCCTAGGCTAGAATCAAACTCACTGTGTCCCTAAGCATGACTGAACTCCAGATTACCCTTCTTCTATCTCCCAGGTGCTGGGAATACAGGTGTGTGTTATCACCCCCAGTTTTTCATGCAATTAAATTTTTTTCTAATTTTACTTTATTTCACGTACATTGGTGTTTTGCCTGTCTGTCTGTCTGTCTGTATGAGAGTGTTAGATCCCATAGAACTGGAGTTACAGACAGCTGTGATCTGCCACATGGGCACTGGGAATTGAACCGGGTTCCTCTGTAAGAGCAGCCAGTGCAGCCATCTCTGCAGTCACTACTTAAGTGTTGCGTGTGTGTATGTATGCATGCATGTTGTTTTATCTTCGGCACAGTGGCTGCACTTTACTGATATTTAAGCCAGCAATTGTGACTCTGCAGTTACTGGCCTGCAACTCTGGCAGCATCCTGGCTGCTCAGGCCCCAGCCTGGTGGGAATTCTGTACCTGCAGGCACCTGCTCTGTTACTGCCGCTAAAGGTAGCTTTAACTAAATCTCTATCATTCTATTTATAAATAAAACATGAGATTCAAAGGCTGGGGTGAAAACTTGCTAGCTCAGAAAGGTTGCGTAGCAACTAGCTAACCTTCTCTCCTTGCTGGGGTCTCCCAAAAAGCCTGCCCTTAGTCCTTCTTCTCCATCAAAACAAAAAAGTCTTGCCACCCTAAGTCCCTCCCTACTACTTCCTGTGTCTCTCTGTCTCTCCTGGATGCCCTCTATGATTACTTTCTATCAACTAGTTGCTAACTCAGCTTCCTGACCCAAGGTTAATTTTATTTCATGAAAATGCTAACTTGGGGTTCACAGCGTGATCAAATATCCCCCAACATCTGCACGTGTGAGTGCAGTGCCCATGGAGACTAGAAGATACTGGATTCCTTGGAGCTGGAGTTACAGGGTGCTGAGACCTGGACTCAGGCCCTCTGAGAAAACAGAACATTTTCTTTTTTTTTTTTTTTCTTTTTCTTTTTTCTTTTTTGGTTTTTCAAGACAGGATTTTTATGTAGCTTTGGAGGCTGTCCTGGAACTAACTCTTAGACCAGGCTGGTCTCGAACTCACAGAGATCTGCCTGCCTCTGCCTCCCGAGTGCTGGGATTAAAGGTGTGCGCCACCAATGCCCGGCAAAACAGAACATTTTCTTAACCTCAGGGTCATCTAGAGGCCCTCTGAATGTTTCTGACATTTTCTTTGCATCTCCTTTGAGAACAAATGGGAGTAGTAGAGAAGTCACCCCTGGTCTTCCCCTCCCTACACTTAGTTCTGTTCCTGGGGACTTCGGGAATTCACAACTGTGAGCTCTGGTTGCAGCCTCGGTTTGTCTTGGTTCAGGTGTGGCCCACAGCACCATTGTGGATGTACTGACCAATCGGAGCAGAGAGCAAAGACAACTCATTTCTCGAGCCTTCCAAGAGCGAACCAAACAGGTGGGACCGCTGACTTTCCAGGAGCTGTGGACAGGGCAGAGACTCCCTGGAGGACTTGAGATCTAACAATGTCCAGTTCCTCCCTCCTGGCTAATCAGGGACTTGGTGGCTAGACCTGGGATAAAAATCAGCTAAAGCTTCCCATGATTTGGGGCCTCCCTTGACCTATGTCTCTCTCTGTCTGGGGCCCATTTATCCAGGATCTATTGAAGTCCTTGCAGGCAGCACTCTCTGGCAACCTGGAGAAAATTGTGGTGGCTCTCCTACAGCCTGCAGCCCAATTTGATGCCCAGGAATTGAGGACAGCCTTGAAGGTACCAGGAGAGGACAACTGCTGGGCTGTCTGGGGGGGAAAGGACACCAATTGACTGGCCTTGACCTCTCCAGAGAATGGGCCCAGAGACCTCTCAACCCCATCGTGACCCATAAATGGAGAAGGGTATTGTGCTTGCTCTCCAGCCCTCTGTCGGCATCTTGGCATCTTGTTGGGCTAATGATATGGCCCAGTGTCAAATGGCCTCACAATTTCTTGTAGGCCTCAGGTTCCGCTAAGGATGTGGCATTGGAAATCCTTGCCACCAGAGCAGCACCCAGACTGCAGGAGTGCCTGGCAGTATATAAGCATGGTAAGAATGCATGAGGGTATGGGAACAATCCACTCCTCTCCTAAAGTCCTTGTGAATTGGGAACCCTGACTGACCAAATTCTATTTCCTTAAGGTCTCTGTTCCCAGAATCCTCCCCTTGCCCTCACTCCCCACTGTCAGTGCCTCAGTCTCCCCAGGGGATAGAGCCGCATGTAATCATTAAAGAAAGAGAAACAATGATTAACTTAGTCTGGAGCCCTAGGGCAAATTTCACAGTACTGACATTAGGTAGTGTAACAGTCCCAGAGGTCCCTTGTCACCTTCCCAGGCCCTTGCTGCTGCCTGAGGGACAGGTGGTAACCTTTTTTAAAGTCACACTGTCACCTTTCAGAGCCCACCTCACCTACTAATTTGTGAGCAGCCTTTCCCATCCTCACATCTCACACCCCCATGGTCACATGATCACAATCACATAAACACCTCTCTTCCTTCAGTTCTCATTAGATGTCTAATGCTGGTCTGTGTTCTTTTTTTTTTTTTTTTTTTTTTTTTAATTGCCTGGTGTTGGTGGTGCACGTCTTTAATCCCAGCACTTGGGAGGCAGTGGCAGGCAGATCTCTGTGAGTTCCAGGCCAGCCTGGTCTCCAGAGTGAGTGCCAGGATAGGCTCTAAAGCTACACAGAGAAAGCCTGTCTCACAAAACCAAATATAATAATTTTATTATGTATACAACATTCTGCTTCCATGTATATCTGCACACCAGAAGAGGGCACCAAATCTTATAATGGATGGCTGTGAGCCACCATGTGGTTGCTGGGAATTGAACTCATGACCTCTGGAAGAGCAGTCAGGGTTTTTAACCTCTGAGCCATCTCTCCAGCTCCCTTGTGTTCTTAACCCTCTCCTCCTCCTCTGATCTCCTCCCCGTTCTGTTTTTATCATGTAGATGAATACTTGGAATTCATGATCCTCATGACTCAGCCCTCAAGTGCTGGGCTTGCAGGCATGGGCCTCCATGGCTGACATTTTTGATTTCTCCCTTCCTTTCTCCCTTCTTCCTCCCTCCTTCCCTCCCTCCCTCCCTCCTTTCCTCCCTTCCATTCCTCCCTCCCTCCCTTCCTTCCTTCCTTCCTTCCTTCCTTCCTTCCTTTCCTTCCTTCCCTTTCTCTTTCATTCTTTCTTCCTGAGATTGAACCCGCGGTTTCAGCACATGCTAGACAAGTGCTTTACTCCAGAGTTTTCTGTCTTCCCCACTCCTGTTCTCTGCTTCATATCCTGCCTCACACACCACTTCTTGAATCCTGGGTAGAGGACTAGGCCCCAACCAACTTGCTTCATGACCTGGGATTCCCTAGCTCTAGTTACTGCTGGCTGTCTAACAATGGATGATATTCCTAGTTGGAAGGTTTGGAGATGAAGTCATTTCACTACTCACTACTTAGGAACATTTTCAGGGTGACCATGATGGCATCCATCCTGGGGACCATCCGCCGTCAAGCTACTTTGCATAGGAGATGGATTGGATGGTTATGGGGCTGGAACAATAGCTCAGCAGCTGAGAGCATAAGGAAGACCTGATTCATTCCCGGCACCCATATCAGATGGCTCCCAGCCCCCTGCAATTCCAGCCCCAGGGGATCTGATACCATCTTCTAGACTCCTTGGGCACCCCCCATACACATAAATAAAAACACAAATCTTTGGGAGGGGGGGATAAAAAGGACTGTTAGGGTCCAGTTGGTCAAGTACTTGACAAGTGCTAAAGCTATCTATCCTGGGAAAATTCAGAAGGAGTCAAAACACTCCTGCTCCTGCCCCAGATTTCCAGGTGGAGGCTCAGGAAGATATCAGGACTGAGACCAATGGCATCTTGCAAGACCTGCTTCTGGCCCTGAGCAAGGTGAGGCTTGGCCTGCCAGGGAAGGGAGTTGTGCTCCTCAGGCTGAGGACAGACCAAAGTAGAGAGCTCTGTTGTCCTGTGACAAGGGAGAGCTTTGGAGAGACAAGGGTCTGAACAAAACTCTGCCCCTCCACAAAACCTCCTAAGAACAGTGTCTCCACTTAGGGGGGCCGTGAGAGATATTCTGGAGTCATTGACTACAGCTTGGAAGAACGAGATGTCCAGGTGAGGACTTCAGTTTGCATAGCTGTGTACAGTTTGTACAGACTCCCTCCTGGACCATGGTTCAGAGCCCATCCAGATCCCAAACACCCATCTGTGCTATAAACCTGCTCCTGCCTTCTTTGCCTCTGCCTCCTGAGTTCACAGAATATAATGACATCTGCTGGCAAACTCTCCTCCTGTGGGCACTGGATCAAGCAAGACTCCTTAGACCTCATCTTGGGGATTAGCTCCTTGTGGGAGCAGATGACTAGAGCCCCTTACTTAATCCTACCTTATTATATTTATTATTATTATTATTATTATTATTATTATTATTATTATTATTATTATTATTATTATTATTATTATTATTATTATTATTATTATTATTATTATTATTATTATTATTATTATTATTATTATTATTATTATTATTATTATATTTGAGTCAGGGTCTTTCTCTGGCTCATTATGTAGACCAGGCCTGCCTCTACCTCCCAAGTGCACAGAATAAACTATCCCTTTTTACCCTCAGTCCCGTTTCTGTCACCACAGTAGATTTTTGGGGACATTATAACCATGGCTTCCAGGCTCCAAACAATGCTACTCATCTCCTCACCGATTCCCTCCTCTTCCCTAGGCAT